AGTTTTACAAGCTGATGCAGCTAATTCTCGTTGAAAGCAGGAACGAAGACTGTGACGACTATTTGAACTAGTTTCAAAGGCTTGATTGACCCTTGGGAGTGAGGCTAGGGCGCCCTCGTTCGGAACGGAACGGAAAAGGCGTAGGGTAGGGATTTGAAACCGTAGGCCTCTCCTCTTCCGAATCTAGTTCTTTCGTTACGCCGAGAAGAAGCAGAAAGAAGCTTGGAAGAAGAGATGGTCAATCTTATCTTCTATTATGGGCGAGACTGCTAAAAAAGAGGCTCTTTAAAGCCAGAACGAGTCCTCTCTACTTCAAAGGGAGGGATAGGCGGGAAAGGGGGAGGAGGTCTTCAGTCACTCCGTTTTTTGAATTGGGTCACGAATCGGAATCGAATGGTATTCGATTTCTTTTAACAGCATAAAAGCATTCGAACTTGGGAGATGCGAAGAAGAATAAGGTTCTTTTTTAGATTCCTTATTCAAGAGAGTACGCATAGGTGAGAACATCCCTAATCGAATGGCCTAGCTTTGCTTCTTCCTCTTTCTCTGCTTCGGTTTACCAAAGGGGGTGAGGTCGACCTTCTTTCGGTGGTACCTTTTCTGTCTAGCTCGTTCTCTTGGTCAAAAGCCACATCTACTCCTTCCTTAGTGACAAAGAAAAAAATAAAAAGAATCGCCCGGGATCGGAATCGGAATGAGTGAGAGCTAAAAGAAAAGCCTAGCGGCAATTCCCGATAAGTTCTATCGAAGCCGATCTTGCTAATCGCGAACCCCTCGTCTTTACTAAGAAGATAAAAAGGGCTTTCTTTTTCTCGTCGCTTCCGGCTTGATCACTGCTAAAGCCCTTCCCGAGCATTTCTGCGAGTTGATTCTACACCTATTTCTGGCTATTTTCTGCCAAAAATCGAGTTCACGAACATGTAGATTCTAAAGAGATCCCACTTCCTCATGAATTTCTTTTTACTCGGAATCTTTTGTATCAAATCCCAGTTTTGTCAAGGGAGCTACCTCATTTTTCACCTTGAATTAATTGATGGAAAGCAGAATTTTTGACTTTGAGTGTAGGATTAGATCCAGTGGCCTTAAATTGTATCGAGCTACAGGCCCTTCTCATAAGATGTTGTAAGCTACGGGCCATAAAATGTCCGACGAAGCTTAAAGCAAACATCAAGAGCTAACTCAAACTAAGAAGGGGGCCAACAAGCCCCTTTAAAGCAAATGCCCGTGAGAAGCTAATGTCGTAGAAGTTACAGGACATAGAAGCAGGCCTAAGCAGCACCTATGAAGCAGGTCAAGAAGTGGATTGAATCTTTTCCAGTCTAGAGACTGGCGGATTACCCTCGAAAGAAAGGATTAAAATCTTCCTTCTGCTTTGAACAAGATAAGTGGACAGATGAGTTGAATAATACAGGGACAGATAAGCTAGGCGAGGTTCCCCTTTGATATCTCCCAACCTAAAGGTTTATTCAGAGGTGGGTCTTTCAACCGCCTACTCTTTCGATGAAGGGTGCACTACAAGACCATCGGTACTAAAAAGATAAAATGGGGGGATTTCGTTGATATTGACTCGACTTTAAACTACTCATCTTGCTTGGAACCGTCGTTGTGTATGGGAAAGAGGGGTTCTACCTATGCTTGGTAGGGAAAAGGGTGAATGGTCCCAAAAGGGACGGGAAAAAAGCCGAACGGGGGGTCATCCACTCACTCCCCGTCGCTGGGTAGTTTACTTTATCCGTGACTCTGAGTACAAGATTTCCGGGATTAAGAAACTCGCAAACAAATATGCTCGGCTGGACTCTTTTCTCGTATGCCAGGAAAAGAAAATTTCGGTACAACTCAGCTTGCTGCAAAGCCTTTCTTTCTCGTCCAAACACTCCAGATCTGCACTTCCCTTTTCTCCATAGGGCCGAAGCTTGACTAAGAAGGGCTTTTTTTATAGAGAGAGCGTAAGGGGCGATCTATATTGCTTGCCACAGCTCTATTCCCGACTCGAAATCCATAAAGGACTTTAATTAAGAGAGGATGAACATTCCCGTTCTATAGGTAGCACTGCCCCTATTAGAGAAGGGTGAGGGTCGACTTCCGTACTTCTGATCTGCTAGCACTGTGAATTACCTTAGACCTACGCAGCAGGAACGATATGGAGCACCTACTCTACTGGTTCTTTAACTGCTCTCTCGAGGTCGTCCTTCTCTAGGTACAAAAAGGACATTACGGGATATCTCAAAAATTCGATGTACTTCTTCAAGTGTGGGACACATCTCATCTTTGTCGAATCTAAAAACCATTGCCTTTGCATCCCAACACTTCACTACGGCTATGATCAGATCCCAGTGTTGGTTCACTTTTTACTTTATCCTCCACCAAATCTTCTGATCTCCTGTTCTCAATGATGATAAGCAGCTCCTGATCGCAGCAATCATGCCTTCGAAGGTACGCGTTTTTCATTCTGGGTCTCAAAGAAAGTCCTTGGGGATAGACGATGGACCCGCCATTCTACATGATGCAGCATTTTGAAAGAAAATTCCATCAAAGGAGTGGACATTTCTGACATATCTTGACACCCTTACTTTTAATAGGGGTGCCTTGCCTCATGATTTTCTTGGCAAGCATTTGGCTGTTGACGTGTCCTCCACACCCACTTGAATGAGCTTGTTCAACAATGCAATGTGCACTCCTTCTTCCTATTAAGTAAGGAAGGGCGAGTACCCCTTGAAGGACCTTTTGTAAAGGACATCTCCCAAGATAACCGTCGGGCAAGTTATCCTCTAGGCTCTCCTCTGACCACGAGTGGCGTACTCTGATATGAACCCGTCCTTGAGGTAATTGTACAAATCACACCTCCTACCATGGTTCCCATCGTCCTCGTAATCTTCCTCGTCTTGACTGGTGATAGTTCATCATGTTCCAACTCTCGATAGTCTTCATCCAAGAAGATGAATGAGTCCCGTTCGACGAAAGGGCTCTCTGTGGCTGGGATGTCCAATCTCTCGATGACAAACAAGCGACTCTGTGCTTCGGTGTACTAGCATGTGTACTAGAGCGGCTGAGTATTTATTCCATAAAGGCTAGCGAGTCAGCCAAGCGATTGTAGATTCTCGGAACATGGGTGAAGGTGATCTCCCCAACAAAAAGCGCTTGATCAGGTCAATGGCAAGTTCTTTGTACGATATGAGTTGGGGCTCTTTGGTCTTCCATTATCCCCCCTTACTCACCTCTTAATCTATAAAAAAAGCCTTTCCCCTGATTATTCCCACCTTACCCTCTTACTATTCGCCTCATCTATAAAAAAAGATCTTGATGGTGCAGTCTCGCCCAAAACCCGATTCAAATCCTGTGTTTTAAGCATACATACTCCACTCAAGAAAAAGCGGAGAGAAAGGCTCTTAGATAGAAAGAGTTTGCTAGGCTGTTTATCTCACTTCGGGCATCTTCCTATCCTGCTTCCTCAAGATAGGACCGGTTTTCTCAACCATGAGCTACTTAGGTTCCAGTCTAGGGGTCAAAACTCAGAGCGATGTCTAAATCTGAGCTCATCGAAAGATATCCATATTCAAAAAAGGCCTGATTCAGAGTGATAAGATATTTAACTTTACCCGATCCCGGTGGTAGGAAGAACTAAAATAGGTTTCCTGAAGAACAGAAGGGGCGTAGAGGCAGCAAATCCGAAGAATATCTATCAATCAGTTCGCCTACTTTCGTACCCAAGCACGGGATGCGACTTGCCAACTGAGATGGATAGGCTGGGTCAGCTAGTATTGAATAAGAATAAGCTCTTCTTCCCCCGCTCCTTGGCGAATTGAGTGCACTACTAGCAATGAAAGGCGTATCAGCTCCCGGTTGAAAAATCCCTCTATTCCTTGGCAGTAAGAGAGTCAATACTCTTTAGTCGACCTTACTCGGTTTTCTTCGGTGCTATCGTCTGTCTATAAATAGTAGATCATGGCGAAATTAACAGCATCAAAGCATTCAAACGAAGAAGGAGTCCCCGTCCAACGGAGCACTAAGAAGCAAGTCCTCCTGAGATGGGAGGCGGCGTAGAAGGTTTAATATAGTTTTAGTGCCGCGAGTGCCTCTTTTGGTTGGTGTTCAGTGATTGAAAGAGATGATCGGATCAAATCGAATTAGCTAGATTCAACTTATCCCAGGCAAGAAGAGAAGGGAATGCACGAAGGGTAGACGAATTAAATCAGTCTAAGGCTATGCTCTGGGTTCTGGGAAGGTAGTTCAGTCACACCCGATGGAAAAGAAGTGCTTCCTATCTTAGCATCTGAGCCGGCAAAAAACCTTAACGAATGAATAACTGGCTCAAAGCATAGTGTATTATTTCCTGCTACCATTGCTAATGAATCAACTGGTATTGGACTGCTCTCAAACAAAGGCAAGGGGGGATTACTCTTAACTAACTAAGCCTAACCTTTAGCCTATCCAGCTTAAGGATTAAATTCTTTAGAAGGCGGCGGTAGCAAAGGCAGAAGGAAAAGGCTTAGTCACCAGTTTCGTCACAGCGGAACGTGTAACCCGCCTGCTGTCTCATTCAACTACATTTGTTCCTGTAATCCACAGCCTAACAGAACGCAGCAGCGAGGGACAACCCGCCCATACAGCCAGCGGGGAGGATGGCACTACTGGCAAAGACCGTCCGGCGAAAAGGCCGCAGGCGCGAAGCGTGGTAGACCTGTGCCGGGGGAGCATAGCATAGGTAGGAAAGGGAGCCTGGACGGTGGAAGAGCCAAGGGGGGGCCGGGTCATTTGACGGAAATGGAAGGCTTTTCCCCTATTAGAGAAGGCCCTCTGAAGTCAAGGGGAAGTGCATTAATTCTTGGAAAAATAGGGAGCGAGCCTATAAAAAAATGAATGAAAGTGAATTCAATGAATAGATAGAGTCAACGGTACGACAGACAGCGCTGCCTACACGCGAATTAGCTTCTGAGGTCGAGCAGTCTCAATTTAACTACAGGATTTGCGAATGAATGCTGGGTTGGGCCACCTCGAATGGCGTGAGCCGCATGCGGGGAGACCCGCACGTACGGTTTTTAGGGGGATCTGGTCGAAAGACCGGCCGGCGCCCACCCGACTAGAGGAATTGAGAAATTAATAGAGTACAAAACTTATCTTCAAGCTTTACCTTATTCTGATCGTTTAGAGGGCGATCGCGGAGTCACTGAATGAAGTCCTCCGTTTCTTTCGGAGGTGCTGACCCGCAGCGAGGCAGAGATGACTAAGTTACATATGGAAGATGGCGACGACAACAACATGTCGTAGAAGGAGATAACAGGTGGAGCCAACGATCTGCTAAGACTCACGTATCTACAACTCCATCCCTGAGCGGCAGTCAAAAGGAGGCGTGAATGCAAGATGCCAGCGGAATGATCGGCCGGACAAAGGCTAGGGCTGCTTCCTTCCCACCGCGTCCTTCCTTGTGTGTCGGAGATATAAAGCGAGTGCACCAGAAAAGAACGGGAACTGGGTCGATCTATTCTATGGCGAAGCATCCGAAGCATAACTGCACACTCATACGATCTTTGCCGAGAGATAGGAGCATTCGGTGGAACTGGTGAACTACACTTGCTTCTGGATAGATGTGTGGGACAGAGGGCTCGTGGTACCTGCTGCCCACCCTTCCTCCTCTGCTTTGAGAACCGTGTGAACGGAGAGTGGGCAGAAGGGAAGGAGGTCCTCATACGGAGTCGCACACTGACTTGAGCAGTGCGGAAAACTAGGGAATGGGTTGAGTAAACTCCCCTGGGGCCGGAAAAATAACAGACGAAGCTTTACTTAGATAGGGCTTTGATTGGTTTTTTTTTTCTTAGTGATTGGAAAGGAGGGCGCCTGGGTATTTTACAAAAAGGGAAGGCAAAGGTAGTACTTCAAATGGCGAAACGAAGGGCTAAATAGCGCCAGTGATTCTCTGAGTCGGTCTGGATTTTCAACGCCTCGGGAAACTGGTCGAGATAGATGACAGCACCCTTTTCCTCTCTTCCTTTTCCGTGCCGGGAGGGCAATCTTATCTTATGGCCTTTCCCCCTCGGCACGGAAATAGAAGCCAGCCCCCCCTTCTGATCCATTAATTTCTGCAAGCAGGGGGGATCCAGAGCTAAGCCTCCCGTCTATTGCATAACCTAAAAAAGCTATAAGCAAAGTACCAAAGGTGCGCTCCTTTCCAAACGGATCTGGTGACTCAGAAAGAAATTGGTTTGCGCTTTGAAGTGATGAGGTCTTTATTGAAGAGGGAAGTAGGGCTCCTATTGAAAGACTTTCCCTCCCTCAAAAGGCGACCAGCTTTCAATACTAGTTGTTACGTTACGCTGCCATTTTTCCAATATATATCATTGAATAGCATGGCCTGCCTGGGGCTAAGGTAACTCAAGTGGGAGAGCCGTGTTATGGGTGACCTTATTGCACGGTTCAGAGAGCACTTGTGTATGTGATGCAAGTGAACGTGTACGAAAAAGCTGTATCTAGGGTGAGTTCTTCGTTCCGTCGTCGACCCTATCTATGTTTCTACGATGGCCCAAGAACACGCTCATTCTTCAGCCGTAGAGAGACTTTTGAATTGCGAGGTACCATTACGAGCTCAATATATACGAGTGTTATTCCGTGAAATAACTCGAATTTCAAATCATTCACTTGCTTTAACTACTCATGCTATGGATGTGGGAGCATCCACTCCGTCCCTGTGGGCTTGTGAGGAGCCGGAGAAATTGTTGGAATTCTATGAAAGAGTCTCGGGAGCCAGGATGCATGCCAGTTTCATACGACCAGGTGGAGTGGCACAAGATCTGCCTCTTGGCTTATGTCGAGATATTGATTCCTTCACACAACAATTTGCTTCTCGTATCGACGAATTAGAAGAGATGTCAATCGGCAACCGTATCTGGAAACAACGATTAGTGGATATTGGTACTGTCACTGCACAGCAAGCAAAGGATTGGGGATTCAGTGGTGTAATGTTAAAAGGTTGTGCAACATGAAGACATTTATAGCAATATGGGGAGAGTTCCCATCAGGCAACAACGATTCTGCCTGACCCTACTTAAGCATGCATATTCTGTCAGTGAAGACTTGGTGTGAAGCCTTGGAGCTTACGTTATAAGAGCAAAAGGCCCGGGGCTAGGGTGAGCTGAGGCGGGCCACCCACCTTCGAATGGTGTTGGTCCTACGGACCGTGAACGGATTCACCTCTGGCCTCTGGGCACGTCGGAACCGCATGAGTTCACCGGGGTGGAGCACAGTCCGCCAAAATCGACATAGGTTAGGTGCTATTGATGGAACATGGTAAGCCTATCTTTCTCCATATGGAAGTGCTGCTTAACATAGAGATGTGGGTAGAGGAAGTCTCAAAAAGCGAAGGCCGAGCTGAGCTGTAGGTCCAAGCTTCAGGTTTGACCTGCACCGAGTTGGTGGCTGACTAGGCCTTTTCCTTGATCAAAGCAGATTAGCTCGCCGCCTTCTTGTTATCAAAAAGTCGGTCGAATCGGGCGGGCAGAACGTCGAATGAAATAGGTAGCTGGGTTCTCTTTTTACAACCCTTTTGATATGAGAGGCCCGGCCACCTTCCCCCTATCCCTTATGTTTAGGAGCGGGATCCGCCCAAGAACGACCAGTCCTGTGGTGGTCTTTATTAGTAAAGGAGGCACGGATTCCGACTCCGCGAACGTCCTTAAAAGCCCCCTTTACTAATAAAGGAAAGAAAGCCTCAACCAGAACCACATTCCTTTTGCGTGCGGATGTAGCTAAGTGTCTGACTCTATTGGTCATAGTTCCCTGCTGTTGCGGCCAGTGCTCGTTTGCGCGCGCGTGAACCAACCCAACAAAGAAGGAAAGGATGCCTTTCGGGGCATCTGAGAATGATTCGAGTCGTATGAAGGGAAACTATCACGTACAGTTTTTGTCTTTTTTTTTGGGGGGGAGGAGCCCGACAGGGTCCCCCCACTGACTTGGCCCAGGCCTAAGTGAAAGTGAAGTGGTGGGCCTACCCATCCCAACCAGGGGTATGCTGGGATTCACGAAGAGCAGCACCTTACGATGTTCATGACCAATCGGATCCTGACGTACTAGAGGAGATCGCTATGATCGTTACTGTATCCGTATTGAAGAGATGCGACAAAGTCTTCGGATCCTTGTGCAATGTCCTAATCAAATGCCTAGTGGCATGATCAAAGCCGATGATCGTAAGTTATGTCCTCCATCACGATGTCGAATGAAACTATCCATGGAATCGTGCGCCGTGTGAAACGTAGATCATCGCCGTTCTTAACCGAGACTCAGGTTAAGCTCCGTCTCGGAACCTTGTGGGGTTAGGAGTAAAGCATCCCGAGGTTGGCGCATCTCGTTGGGCGTGGAGAAGCATTGGGAACCCCCCTTTATTTCTTCGGAGCCCTTTCTTTTCCCGTCCCCCCGCCCCGGCATAGCGCTTCGCTTCCGGTTCTTCGGAATCGGAAGAATAAACTTACTTCTCCCTTCTTCATTGATCTGGGGGAAAAGGAACCGTCTACCAGTTGGCAAGCTAGACATCAAGTAAGTGGCTTGATGAGGATAACTAAGCTGACACGCCGAAGTTGGCTGCTGGCACAACAGGGTGGTGCCTTACCGCACCGCAGGCGAACGCGCGGTAGCGTTCGTGGTGGTGCTTCAGGATTCCAATGTACCGCGTCCAAGATCAGAACGAGCTTGTCGGCGGACCACTGCCGTCCCATTCTTGAGTGAGCTGGAGCGCAGCCATCTTATCCACTGAACTAGCTAGAAGCTATCGCTTCAGGTCGAAGCACTAAAAGAAAAGGACCGGGAAACGCGGCGGCATAGGAACCACGAGACCCCTACTAGTAAAGGGAAAACGGAAGTGCGCGTTAGCACTTTATTAGTAATGGAGGCTTTCTTTTTTTCGTAAAAGAAAAGCCCCCCCCTTAAGAAATAGGAGGCGTGGGGGTTTGTTTACCTTGCTTGCCTTAATTATTTATATAATATATAAGGGTCGAGCGTCTTCAAACCTTCGCCTATCTATACTATAGTAAGGGGCCTTTTCATAATATGAAGGTCAGCTTCATAGCTCCAACCTAGACAAGGCCTTTTTTTTCCCTTTTTTTAGATTGGGTTGCTGGATACGGGATCCTCGTAGTAGGCTGGACCAAAATCTAGCCGAGAGAAGGCAGCCTTTAGAAGCAACAAGTTGGGAAACCAATAGAACGCTTCGCATTTTCTTATCTTCTTCCCTCCCTAGGAGTAGGAGTAGCACAAAAAGAGGGATTAGCATTATTGACCCAATGATAAACCACTAACACCTTCCGATTCCGATTCCGAATTGGGGCTCTTAAAAAGCACTGGGAAAACGCTCTAGCGACGGGAAAGCGACCACTAGTTACAAAGCTCCAATAAGGTATCGAGAGGGCTATCACAGTCAGGTGCGAAGCAATTACCCCCTCTTTAAAAAGTACCCCTCTTCCTATTTAGGGGGTTGAGGCGAGAAATGGCTTGATGAACCGTTCCGTTCGCCACGCACCGGCCCCATTCACTTGCTTATCGTAGAGGCTGTAAGTACACTGTGCCCCACAACTATGAATAGTCTAGTGATAGTGGGGTTGAAAGACAAGAGTGCTCGCCCTTTCTTTCATTTCAAGTAGGCCACTTTTTCCGGAACGCAGTCCGGGATAACCGTGACCGTGTAATAAATAATATATAAATCTTCGATGCTGTCATTTCGAAATGTCCGCTTCAACCGCAGTTTCACCTCCAAAAAAGCTAAGTTGGCTTGACGAGCGCAGATGCGAGGAAGCGGCGGGAGCAATTAAAGAAAAAATATCTTTCTTGTCCTTCTACTTAAGGGGCAAATAGAAGCGCTTTTGCTACTGAGAAAGCGAACGCGCGAAGGTTCAAGACTTAGCCGAGTGTTAGCGAAGCTAGATTCTCATAGCGAGGCGCTTCGAGTTAGCGAAGCGCTGTAGTAGCGCCGAAGCCCTATGTTCTATAATGCTGAGCCAAGGACGCTCCACCTTATCTATAGAAGCAGTCAACTGAGTTCTGAACGAATTAACTCCTTGGTAATGGCTCAATCTATAGATATAAAGCCCTATGATGGGAAACTATCACGTTAGGTTTGGAGAGAGATCGGACCGGTTATATAATAGCCCTAGGAGAGCAGATGCAAGCTTTTTCTTTCAATAGCCGGCCAAATGACTACAGGATCATCGGTCTACTCTACCTCAATTCACCATTTCGAACTTTATACATAAGGTTTTTCCGTACCAGCTCCTTCTACCTATACCGCAGTTGAAGCACCTAAAGGAGAATTTGGTGTCTTTCTGGTCAGTAATGGAAGCAATCGTCCCTACCGTCATAAAATAAGAGCACCTGGCTCTGCCCATTCACAAGGACTCGATTCTATGTCCAAACATCACATGCCAGCAGATGTGGTCACCATCATAGGTACTCAAGATATTGTGTCTGGAGAGGTGGATAGATAGGACTACTAGTTGCTCGATCAGGACCCTAGCTTTATTGCGAGCCAAAAACCTTGATGGATTCCCCTTTTGTTTTGCAGCATTCCTCCTTACCTCGAGGTCAAATGAATTGAAAAAGAAATAAAAATAATAATTACTCTGATCTGACCCAAACCCTAAAAACTTTTATTGTGTTAATTGTGCTTTATTGGCTCTATATTAATTTCATACTCTCTTTCTTTCATATATATAGTCAATTTTGACTTACTTGTGGCTATGGGGTCTCAGCCTCTGGACTTTGAGTGGATTTGCTCTTTCAACAACGGCGCCGGCAGTTCCAATCTCCCGGTGTTGGAGTTGGAATCGTCGTCGAGTTCTGAGTCTTTGGAAACGTTCAGTCATAATCCATATGAAATCTATGAACGCATTAAAATTCTTGAGTCTCGCGATTACTTTAATCTCCCTCCTCAGAATAATCAAGGTGATTACGAAAGGCTAGTGCGGGAACACTTGTCTTTTTCTCGAGCTCTAGGCGATGATTTCTACAGGACCATTTTTTATAGGGAATACAATGAACTTCGAATCTTAGAGCGAAAAGGTCTCCTTCAGGATAGACTTACCAATCTGATGCTTAATGAGAAGAATCTTGCTCTAAATCTTTATGGAGATATCGCCCTATTCAGATGTAAGGCAGGAGGCCTATCACTTCATTCAGGATAGGTTTCCCTTGTTAATTTTAACTCGCTTGAGTATCCGTTAAGACTAGAAGAGCGCTTAATAATGGATGAAAATCTTAATTATCTTAAGTCTTTGGTTACCGACCTAGACCAAAACCGTAACCTTTCTGAATTAGATCGTGAATTCTACTAACATTTAACCGATGACTAATTCCGTCGGCTACTGGGGTTGCCCTTACAATAAGAGGTTATAAGGTAGAAAATCAATGGGTGTCGGTCTTCATATCATAACTAGGTTGTAGTCTCCTTCGGTCATGGCTTTTTTCTTTAAATATTTTTTTTATAGTTCTTGCATTAACCGGTCTAGAATTAGGTGTAGGTAACTAAATTTTATTGTCTTTTTGTTGTATCGGGGTCTTACTGCTTTTGGATTTGGAATGGACACGCCTGCGGAGGAGAGAAGGTGAAGCTGCTCCCTAGGCTTGGCTTGAATGCCGTTGTTTTGACTCGAGAGAGATAGGATTCCTAGTTGCTCGATCAGGGGCCTAGTTTTATTGCGAGCCAAAAACCTTGATAGATTTGATCCCCTGGCACGCATACCACTGTCCTGTACACTAAGTCAAAAACGCTCTAGAGTACGGGCCGGGCCCTCCTTCCTACCTCCCCGCCCTTTGAAGTAGAGAGGGAGAAATGGATAGAGGCAATCTATTTATTGAATATGAATATGAAAGGGATCCCAATAGCAATAGGAAAGAGAGAGAAGACCGTGGAAGAATGAAAGGATTCTGTCCATCAATCAAATCCTATTTTTTTCACATTGAAGGAAGAGAATCAATAGTAAGAAGGGGACAAGGGAATTTACAAGAGAAAAAACCATATGAGAATAGAAGTAAACTAGCTTATTAATTTCCAGTGTAAATCTTATCCGCTGCCTCTCCTTTTTACCTTTTACCGGAGAGAAAAAGGTATCTTAAACAATCATTATCGAATGAATAAAGCTCTGAAGGCAAGTTAGGTAGGAAGGCTAGGAAGTGACGACCTCTTAGCAGAAAAGTCCAGTCCGACGTAGCTTTGGTTTGGGATTCTATTACTCTTTTCGGGCCGCACATTAGCAATAGTGAGCCTCTTGGATTTGGAAGCCTTAGGCGAGTTCTTTTCCACTTCTACCTAAAAAATTATAAGAATAAATAGATTCTTTGTTTTCGCATTCCCATCTCTATTAAGAGCTTGACGGACGCTGTAATTATAAAGAGTTCCGTTCCAAGATCGAAAAGAATGCATTGGATGGATGCCCGGGCATTGAGAAGGAAGGACGCTTTCAGAGGCGAAAGGCCATGGGGAGATACCGTCTGTGATACATGGATCTCCAATCGGGAAACCGTATCCAAGCTCCGCGGCTAGTCTGCGCTCTTTGGACTTTTAAAACTTAGCGAACTGAAACATCTTAGTAGCTAAAGGAAGGGAAATCAACCGAGACCCCGTTAGTAGCGGCGAGCGAGAGCGGATTGGGCTTTGAAGAAAAAGAAAAACGAAGCTTCGTTTCTCTTTCGAGTATGAGAAATTCCTCAGCAGCAAAGTCTTCACTTCTTTTTCGCCAGGTTTCATTCGATTTGTTGTGGATTGGATGATGGAAAAACCAGCAAGCCCCTTTCATTGAAAGGGCGCAGTGAACTTTAATTATGAAAGGGTTGGAAGATCTGGCCAAAGAAGGTGATAGCCCTGTAGATTCGTTCCCATGGTTCGATCCTTCCTAGTAAAACGCGGCGTGTTCGAATTCTGATCGCTTTTACGCGAGAAAGGGGGACCACCCTCTAAGCCTAAGTATTCCTCAATGACCGATAGCGTACAAGTACCGTGAGGGAAAGGGAAAGATTAGGTGGACCCCTATACATTCATTGATTAGACCGAAACCAATCGAAGCCATGCGATCGATCGAGCTACCCGCATTTTAGTTTTGCTTTATCAAGTAGGGGCTTAGCCGCTTCTTTCTCTTTCTTATATTTATGGCAGCATTGGAAAAAAAAGAGACAAAACGTCGAATGGCTAAAAAGCCCTATTTATGTATGTGGAAAGTCTATACTTAAAACACCGACTCAATTGGAAGCTGAATCCTCACATGGTTCGAAAGCTTCGAAACCCCTTTTACTACACCACACCTGCTACCCACTTTCTTTGTTATTGGTTCAAAATAGCCTAAACATTCCTTTTCTTATTCTTACTCTGCTTAATCCTATGGCTGCTCTTTAATATGTTCTAAAACCGCCAACCCTTGTTCTTACTTATTCATCGGCGGAGGATAGAGCTTTTATTTATTGTTCTGCTTTCCTATGATATGGATTTGGTTGATTCTCCTGTGGTATCGACTGCCTTTGTTCGGCTGAGACTTCTGCGTCTGCGGATTCTCTAGTAGCTGCTCTAGCGTCTGCTTCGTCGGGTGCTGAATCGGATGCTTTATCTGCGCGGTTTGAAACTCTTTGGAAAAGAAAATGGTTTGCCCAGGAATTCTAGGTTGAAAGCCCTCTCTGACCAAAACCAGGAACGAAAGTCTTGATCCTAGGCTTTGGAATCAATCAAAAGAGCCCGAGCCGAGTAAGGATACAACGCATAAGTATAAGCTGCTACAGCATCAGGCAGGGCAAAGGTACTTTCCAGACCTTAATCTACAAAAGATAGAACCTAAATAAGAAGCCAGGGAGGCCTTATGGTAGAAAAAAGGTATGCAGGGGTTCTGGGTCTATTATAACCAGAAGGGGGGAGAACGGATTTTGGGACGTGTCTGTCCCTATTGATTGGGCTGGTGAAATGTACGACCTCCAACTGAACCTAGCCCAAAAGAGTATCAGCGAGGGATTAAAAACCTAGTTGATCACTTATTAAGTCAGTATAAAATCTTATTATTTTTTTATTCCCAACATGCAGAAGTACAAAACCAATTAACATAGAAACTAGAGTGAGTTAGATGGAACCTGATGATCTTCGAGGCCGAAGGGAGCTAGAGTTGAAGCTGGCGCGGGAACAGTAGGAGCTCCAGCTCGCTGAATAAGCCACCACAATATAGGAAAAAGAATAAGCAACATGATAAGGATGTGTCTCAGGTGCGGAGACCTGTTTAGAAGGTGAACCAGCAGAGTCAGATGCAACCGGGCATGAAGCAACAAGTGCTGCAGATATCTGGTAGAACTTATTCTCGGATATCTTTGGTTAAGTGAGGTGGCGCAACAAGCCGAACCATATGGATCGAGTACAAAGCAACCAAATATCCGGACTTCGGAGTCGAAATCAGAATTAATAAATAAGAGGTTTTTGTTCGCTCCGCAGGCACGAAATAGTCGAGATGTATGTGGTGCCCTTTCTTTCATTCACATTGGTGAGGTTGCTTGATTGTAGGGGCAGGGGAAGCTGTAGCTTATGGCTTTGGTCTTCTTAATTAAGTAAGTTTCTTTCTTCTTTCTTCCGTCTAGGGAAAGCCAACCCTTTTCCACTATACGAAAGGAACGAAAGCTTAAGAAGAGCTGTTGTGGTAAGGAATTGGATTGAGAAGCTCCGCCCAGTAGTGCTCTACAGTAGTGCCTTGCGGGGTCGGAGATCATAAAAAAAGAAAGACTCCAATGCTTTTCTGGTCTTTAATGAATTGTAGATAGGAAACCTAAATGCCACAGCTGACTCATAAGAAAGTAATGGGATAGATTGCCTTATGGACACTCAGGGCTACTCATTGAGGAAAGGATGACAAGGATTTCTAACTTCAGTGCGCGATCTTACGGTGGAAACTCGAGCACTATAATATGCTTATATCAATAAGGATTCCCAGATATGTTCCCGGAGTAATGACCGATGCCTCTTGAGTGAGTAGTAGAGTTTGCTATCGTTTTGGTTCCGATTCCGAGAGCGGGACCCACTTCTAAGACCCCCTATGGAAAGATATAGCAAGTGCATTGAACGAGTACTAGAGACCGATCATCTGATACTAACTGGGAAATTATCTTACTTAAGCATAAGAATAAATGTTTGGGACCGGTATATGATAGGTACCGATGATTGAATGAAGCTACTATTAAGGACATGTAACTGCTATTTAGAATAGATGACTTATTCAATCAGTCGTAAGGAGCCCGATATTTCCAGGAGCGACTTCTGTTCGGGTCACTATCAGTCTAGGTTCAAGTAGAGTGATGTGCAAAAGTCGACCTTCCGAAATGTGTAATGTTATTTCGAGTTCATAGTGGTGTCATATGATCAGACCAACGCCCAGTCTTTCGTGGACCTTATGGATTAGGTGTCCAAGCCCTTTTGGCTACACACCTGGTAATCTTTATAGATGACGATCTAGTGTACCCTCTTGATTTGGCGACGAGCGAAATTTGTTGAGTGGGGTCTTAGAAACCTGGAGACAGGGAGGATTCTGTGTTAGTTTAGCAAATGCGAATTTCGACTCGAGGGAGTCCCGTTCATGGGACGTGTTGTATCTAAAAATTGAATTAATTGCCGTAGACCCCCAAGAAGACAGAGGCGATATAGAATGGACCAGACTGACTAGCAGCAGTGATACGATACGCCATTCGTGGAGGAGTCCTCCGAACCTTCGGCACCGTAGTGGCCGATCGTTTAGTATGCCAATAAGTTAAGACCCCGCACTAGAGGCCTACTGGGTTATTACCACACTTGCCTATCCTATGTGGAAATAAGAGCACCTAGCGACGGTTATCGTTTCAGGTTCACCTCGTACGGTGAAGGGGTACGATCCTATTTGTTTGGGCATTGTAAATAGAGAGACCAAATCAACGCTTTTCCTCTCATTCAAAACCAGACCCGCACTACTTTCGCGAAACTCGCCGAGATATGCGTGCATCGATGAGATAGTAAAGAGGCACGGAGCGCCCGTGTCGGCAGAATCAGACAGAGACTATCGCTTGTGGCAGAGTTGCATATAATGACCGCTATTAGGCGAGTAATCAGAAAGTGCCTTACGCAACTATATACGACCGGGTAGACCCAGTTGTGGTGATAACATGAGAGAGAGATCGATCTGAGTCCGAAATGGATACAGCAATAGTAGGATAGGTCAAGATTGTTTGCGAATGGCTTTCGGGCAGCTCAGAGTAGACAGTCGGACCGTGCCCTTGTGTGTACGCGTAGTTTAGAGTTCGAAGCAAGTATTATCTAAAGTTTAGCGTTCAAAGGAATTAATGAGACTTGGAATTAAAGTCAGGTTTCGTTTTCCTTTCTTCGGCCCATTTGGAATTCTAAAGCAGAGTAGGAGATGTTGCTTATCGATTAGCCCCACCGGCCCTTTGAAGAATTCATAACGCAATTCTCATATCTATGTCAAGGAAGTTCACACCCTCCCTTGATTAGGTAGTGCAGCTAACATATGTATAAACCAACCATAGCCCCTCATACGAGAAGTGCCCAGAGCGTTTGGTGTACAGAGGGGATTGAGTCTTAGGATGGCACACGACCCTTTATGTTAGGGTCCAAGGGAACGACCATACCGAGGGAGAGATACTTGGAAAACCGAAAGAAAGGTGCGAGACTATATCCACATCGATTCAAATCATTAAGTGTGAGTTTTGAGGACAAAACTCTTACCTGGCGTGTCGAAAAGGTGAGGGTGCTCCTCCCGCATCTTCTCCTCGTCTTCCCATGTAGCTTCGCGCTCGGAATGATTCCTCCACTGAACTTTGACGTATGGAATTGTGCGCGTCCTGAGTACCTGATCCTTTCTGTCAACAATCTTCTCTGGGCGTTCTTTATAAGTTAAATTCGTATCTACAACCACATCCTCTATCAACCAGATATGCTCTGGCGACGGTACGTATTTCCTCAGCATGGATACGTGGAATACGTTGTGAACTCTGGAGAACGCTGGAGGTAGTGCCAAGCCAAACGGTATGCCACATCGCCTATCGCTTACTTGCGTTCAATGAATGAAGTTTGCTCTTTCTAAAATAGAGTTCCCCCTTATTAGATAGCAATCTTACTCTGAGTTCCTGCTCCAACCAATCTACAGGGGAAAAGGAAAGAAACTAAAATTAATTCGTTAAGCAAAGCCCATGGCCTACCCCTCCTACTCTGCCATACCTGTGAAAGAACTTATTCTTTCGAATAGGCCTAACCCCCACAAAGGGGAGAGGGTTATGTTATTGGGTTATAAAGACGGACTCCCACCTCAACCATAAAGAGACATTTATAATAGTGATTTCTTATGATATGAATACTTTTACTAGCAAGTAAGTGTCGTGCCCTCAAGTCAAGCAAGGTACCGAGTGAGATAAAGAATTCTAGGGGGTGCAAGCCCGGATACTAAGTATTTGCCTTGCATTTGAAAAGCATGATTTTGACCTTCGGGGAGGGGTACTTCTTTCTTTTACTTTATAGAAAACATTTATACTTGATTGAAGATATACCAAAACTCTTGTCTATTTCGATGGTATGATAGTAACTAGAGCTCCATTATAGGGAAAAAATGACCATAGAATTCGCCTTAGCCTTAGACAACAAAAAGAGAACGGGAAACCGGGAACCAAGCAGGCCTTTTGGCAGGAAAACAAGCTAGATCACGTCCTCGAAATCTACCTTGTTTTTTAGGTAGGATTGGGTTGGTGGTAGGTGAAGTTGTAACAAAGTTCCCTTTTTCAATCAGTTCCAAGACCCCGAGGCTCGAGTCCTAAATCATATTTTAGGGGGATCTTTGCCGTTGATCCTAGCAATGAAGAAAGATGATCTTCCTTTAGCTGGGCACACACCTTTCAGTAAGATGTGATGCTGTTCACTCTGCTTTCCCTGGTTTAGACAGATTCCCAAGCTAGGTTGTAGCCACGACGGCGCTGTTCCTTTATCTTCTCCTTTCTCTTCATTCTGACCTTAAGAGAATAACTTCGCTCTTTTTCTTCTGCCTCGATAGAACAGAGCCTA